TATATATATATATATATATTGTAATTCTACACACTGTTGCATTTTGATAATGTATGTATTATGCATATAAGACATTATATATACACATATGCACAGATATGTATATATATTGTTCTACACATTTCTTTCTGTATATAATATATGCCTTGGCCATATAATAGATAATATATATAGATATAGATATAGATATATAGATATAGATATAGATATGTAGATATAGATACAGATATATAGATATGGATATAGATAACGATATAGATATAGATGTAAATATAGATAATATATTTATTTGTTTTTTCATACATTTCTGTATTAGAGTTCATGGAGGCGTCTTCTTTATCTTTTTCTGATCTGTCTGCTGAGTTGATGCGTCCTGTGTTAATTTATTCATTCAATCTTTTCTTTTAATATATGTTATATATTTTATATACTAGATATATAATATATATAATATATTATATATATTATCAATATAATATATATATATATATATATTGAAACAAAAGTTTGATTGGTTTAGTATTATTTCTTGTTTGTTAAAACATCAATAAAGAGAATAAGTAGTGAATTATATATCTTCTTTTATTGATAATGCACGCGTTGAGGTGTCTGTACAGCTCAGCAAAGCAGCTTCTTCTGTCTTCCCCTTTCGCAGGTTGATATGCATTATTATATTTTTTCTATTATTACATTAAATAAAATTGTTTCTTCTGTCTTGCAAGCTTTGTCTCCTGCTGCTTCTTGTTGATTATGCATGCACGGAGAAGAAATAGTTATTTGGCGGTCTTCTACATCAACATAAGTTGTAGCCTGATAAAAAGAAAGAAAAATATTAATGTTTGTTTGCTTATATTTACACAATGCTTATTTTTACGTTCTTGATCGCTATTAAATAGATCAACAGATATATTAATACATAATATATCCACTTAGATAAATGCATATAAATAAATAAATATATATATATATATAAATAATTGTACATCAATACGAATACAAATAAACAAACATATAAAGGATAGACATATCAATACATAAATATATCCATGTAGATAAATGCGTATTAATACTTACATATAAATAAATAAATATACATCAATATGAATACAAATGAATAAATAAATAAATATAAATATATATATGTATATATGTACAGGATATATATTTATTTGTTTTTAAACTCTAGTTATTAAAACAGATTAGAAGGTGTTGAATTAATTATTTTCTTCTTCTCACCGTGTAGAATTTATTTTGCTTGATTTTGACATTTTGTATAATCGCCACTCCATTAACTGCTAAATGAATGGAAGGTAAATGAGTCTCTGATTTCTTTGTTCTTTTTTCGTTTATCTTTTGCTTTTCTTTTTCTTCTTCTTTTGCTTTGTTTTCTTCTGCCTTTGCTTCTTCTTTTGCTTTATTTTCTTCTTCTTTTTCTTCTGCTTTTTCTCTATTTTCTTCTGTCTTTTCTTCTTCGTTTTCTTTTTCTTTGTCTTCTTCTTTTTCTTCTGTCTTTTCTTCTTCGTTTTCTTTTTCTTTGTCTTCTTCTTTTTCTTCTTCGTCTTCTTCTTTTTCTTCTTCTTTTTCTTCTTCTTTTTCTTCTTTTCCTTCTTCTTTTTCTTCTTCTTTTTCTTCTTTTCTTTCTTCTTTTTCTTCCTCCTTTTCTTCATCGTTTTCTTCTTTTTCTTCTACTGTTGTTTCTTCTTTCCCTTTTGCTTCTTCTTTTTCCTTCACTTCTTCTTTTTCCTTCACTTCTTCTTTTTCTTTTCCTTGCCCTTCTTCTTCTTCTTTTTCCTTTTCTTTTTCTTTTTCCTTTTCTTTTTCTACTTCTTTTGCTTTTTCTTCTATTTTTTCTCCTCCTTTTTCTTCTTTGCAAGGGTTGCCGAGCTGAACTCCAACTAAATATCGGCCATTAACTGGAACAGAAATCGACCAAAAGTTTGGAGGAGCTCCTGCTGCTGCTGCTGCTCCTGTTGCTGCTGCTGCTTGCGCTGCTGTTGCTGCTGCTGCTGCTGTTGTTGGTTGAGCTGCTGCTTCTCCACGGGCCTGAAAAGACAGAGCACAGGGTCTTTAGCCAGCAGCAGCAGCGGCAATTTATATATTCTCCTCAGCACTTACAGGCGCAGCAGACAGCACAATGCCTCCGCTGTTTAAAATAGAAGAAGAAGGGGAAGTTGAAAGACCTCCTCTGCATTGGGGCGCCTTAGCCTGCTGCAGCCACCCTGTGCAGCAGCAGCAACAACAACAGCAGCAACGGCAGCATTTTTAAAACAGGTCTTTTGAATTGCTTGTTGTTTGAAGTTCTCACCATAGAAATATCTTCCATGCTGTTGTTTAATATCGCCTCTGTCTGCCACCCAGCCCTAAGAGTGCCCCGATTGCATGAGGTGTACGTACACCACAAGAAGGGCCTTTGAATCTGTCTCACTGGAGGCAAGGGTTTGTCTCTATCTGCTTCAAAATGAATATTCAGCTTGAAGGGCTGTTGACGCAGCAACGCATGCGTGCAAGAGGCATGGCTTATTGCAATGGAAGTATCAGCAGGCCCGTGAGTCATGGAGACGATTCCGTTTTTATTTTCAGCATAAAAGGATATTTGAGGGCCCCCCAAGGTGATGAATACTTCGCATGCAGATTCTTAAGGTGATGAATACTTCGCATGCAGATTCTTCAGGTGTACATACACCTGCATGCAGAGCAGCGCTGCAGAGAGCAGACTCCACAGCGTACATCTTATTTCCATAGACGGGGCCCGCAGGTTCTTTAAAGCATTTCCCGCTGCATATTCCAATAAACTGAAGAATAGAAGAGGGATTAGCCTCTTCTTGCTCCTCTAACGCCGTCGTTATGGTGTCTAGACACTGCAAATTGAGGCATTTATATATTTTAATATTTGTTGAATCATCTATTATATATATATATATGTATGCCCCTCACCTTCAATTCTATTACAGGAGGAGGCAAAGAAGAAGCCTCTGTCTCTGTTGTACAAGGCACCCCCCAAAATTCAAAGGAACCGCCGCTGTCTCCTCCATTAACAAACATTTGCGTGATTTCTATTTTAACCTGAAGATGTTTTGCGTTATCTCGTAATCTTTTGCTTTAAGCTGCAACAAACAAAAGACCTACAGAAGAAGTCAGCTTAGGTAAAGGCAATAAATAGGAATGATGCTCCAGCTTAGCCGTGTGCAGAATAGAAAACACTTCCGTCTCCCCGTCTATAGAAGAAACATATAAAGACATATATATGTATATTATATATATATGTATATGTATATATATATATGTATATATATATACATGTATATATATAATATACAACGACAGCGGCTAGTAACAACACCGGCAATAAGCAATCAATAGCAAACGTAGTTATTCAATGCATAGCGCAGCAAGAACAAGAAAGAAGAAGAAAAAAGAAAGGAAAAGAAAAAGAAAGTAATTAAATGATGGAAGAAGGTGAAGAAAAAGAAAAGGGAGGAGAAGAAGGAGGAGAAGGACAAGAAAAAGAAAAAGAAGAATATAATAAAATGCTGTCTACAGACAAACCTTCAAAGGTAAGAGTTATTTCAGACGGCCACATTAGCGGATCTCCAGGGGGCATAAAGAGGAAGCGAGTGCTGAAGAAAATAAAAAAATAAATAGGAAAAATAAGGGAATGAACGATAAAAACAGGGGTTTTAAATAGCAGCAATAAAGACAATGAAAAAATAAACAAATAAATAATAAATTATAAATGATAAATTATATTTATTGCAAACGTTTAAACGCCATACAAACTCACATTTGCACAGGCTGGGTGAAGGTAAGAGAAATATACTCCCCGTTGCCTGCAGCAGAAAAATAATAAGATAAATAAGAATAATAAGAATGATTGCACGAGCGACATAATTATAGCAATAATAATAATAATAATAGCAGGAGTAATAATGTGCAATAAGCGGCATAGCAACAATAATAATAACAATGTGGGCAAAAGCGAGAATATAATCACAACAGCAATTGTTTACAAATATAAAAACAAGAATAACAAATCCAGTACAAACGCATGCAACAAATGGAATATAATAACAACAAAAGTAACAACAATAACAACAATAATAATAATAACGATGATGACGATGATAATAATAATAATAATAACAATAATAATAAATTAAACAATATAGTACCGTTTCCGCTATTGGAGCGCCACTGGCCGTGGGGGCCGTCGAAATGACTTCCGCTTAGAGCAGCGGTACAATTAAAAAGAGAAGAAAGAAAAGAAGAAGAGCTGCAAAAAGAAAAGAAAGGGCCTTTAGAAAGAGATAGATTGACTTCTTCTCCTCCTGTATATTCAATCCAAAATAATAGTAATAATAATAATAATAGTAATAATAATAATAATAATAATACAGTTATTGTTATTATTGTTATTGTTGATAATATTAATGGTTAATAATTGATATTATTATTAATAGTATTTATAATAATAATCAAAGTTTTCTCACCGCAGGCTGATGCATCTTTAAGAGCTGCAAACACCATAATAAAAGGAATATCTCTGTGTATAATGTTGAAGGAGATGAAGCCGCCTCTATGCATAATTCTTTTAAATCCTAGTTGTTGTAATTCGTTTGTTGTTGATGTTTTATTTGTTTTTTCTTCTTCTTTTTCTTCTTCTTTGTTCTTAACAACGCTGATGCTGTAATCTGTTTCTTGCGGTCTCCATAGATAATCTTCAAATGCAGCAAATGGAAAGGGCTGCCCCTTAGAAACACCAACATAAATATCAGCAGGAAGATTTATATGCATCTCCAGCACAGAAGAAGATGCTGAAGGCTTCTGCTTAGAACGAATATAACGCATGCCTTTCAAATGCTCAGGGATATTTGACAATGCAGCAGAAGAAGATTCATCTGCATATAATGCAGCGCCTTCTTGTAACAAAGAAAGAGAATACTGCGTCGGGTCCAGGCTGAAGCAAACCTTCATTAATATAAATATAAATAAACATAAATAAATAAACAAATATATATGTATATGTTTATTTACATATTTATATCAAATACACAAATACACAAGAGAAAAGAGGCTTCAATCCATCATTTAGTGCATTTAAATAAACGACACAAACAGAAAACGAACAAAGATAAATATACTTCACTCACCCGGATATCTTTAAAGGAGGAGGCCGATTTATTGTAAAGAAGAATTTAGGAGGTATTATTTCTCTGGGGATATCTTCAGATGCCCACATGAGTCTGAGAAGCAATTTTATTAAAATGGTGTTCTGCGTAATAATGTTCAAATTATGCATGCATTTTGTTCAGATAAGTAAGTATGAAGAATAATCTTTTCATGAAATGCACGCATTTTATGCATATTATGAATGAGGCAAAAGATTATTCTTCAACAGTGCAGTATGCATTTTGTTCATATAAGTATATATATATATATATATATATCAGCACTTGCAAGTACGTTGCATGTATTTAATTCTCATTCGATGCAAGTAGAATGCATGCATTTAATAGAACATTTTTTCACAAGTAAAATGCATGTATTGAAATACTATCTTATTTTTATTTTTATATTATTTTAAAATTCTTTCGCACTTACTTTAGACTGCCATGGTCGCTGTGTTCAAATAGGAAGTGTGTGTTGTGAACCATTTCCACACGTATTTTATATTTTTTTCTCCCAGTTAATCGAATTGAAGGAGATTCTACGATATGTTTGCCGCTTTTCTCAGCCAAAGATATCAAAGAAACTCGGTGGCTCCCTGAGGAATCTGCTGCAGTTCCTGGAGGCATTCTATCAGAAATCAAAGGAAGCCCATTCAGAAAAAGCCTCGCGCCGTTGTCTGTTTCTGCAAAAAGTAATTCATTAAAGAGGATATATTTAATAAAAATAATACCGATAATAAATAAAGAGTATTTTTCTTTATTTATTGACAAATTTTTAGTATATACATACCGGTGCTGAATACATAATGCGCAGTTTCTGGAATCAGCAGAAACCCATCCCAGCCTGAATATGAATTTTTTTAAATTATTTTATTTTATTCTATTTTATTTGTTTTTAAACAGACATACGAACGGAATAGTGATGGCTTGCAACGCCTTCTAAGGGCCCTGATCCACTGAACGCCACATCAATATTTCTGTGTTTTTTGCGTATTCTCGGCGATCCTTCAAAAAAAGAATTATCAAAGTAGTTCCCAAAAATTCCATCAGGCAGAGGGTCGTCTTCATATCTGTGTTTCAATTAGGAGGTGAAGAGGGGGTTTAATTCAAGGAAATAAGAATAGCTAATCAGGCTATTCACAAACGAAAATAAAGCAGCAACAAAATAAAGAACATAAAAGCCCACGCACCCCAAGACGTGCTGACAGTTTTCTGGTTTTCTTGCTGATGCTTCTGCTTGCTGCCGAATCTGTTGTTGTGTCTTATGAATTAATTCTTTTAAAAATGCAGCTGTCTTTGCTGCAGCCTCCAGTCGTTTCAGACATTGCTTATTCCTATTTAATATTTCCCCTGCTACCGCCAGCTGCTGCTCTACGGCCGCATGCCTTTTTCCGCAGACTGCCTCTAGCCTGTCAGTTGGTTAATATTATTTTGAATTCATTTTATTCAATTAAATTATTTCGCTGAAGGCTGCTGATAATGGAGGAAGGCCTTACCTCTTCTGAACCATATCTGCCTGATAGATACTCCCATCTAGCCGCCTGACCTAGCATAGCAGAGTATATTTATATTTATTGTGTTGCTGAAAAGGTGTTTTAGGTGAAAGACAAAGAGAGAGGAATAACACACCATGGTTTCTCCCTCCGCCGCTTTCATTTCAAATGCCTGACGCGCCTTCATGCGCACTTTGTCTGAAAAAAGGAAAAAGGAAGGGAAAATCATTTGATGTTTATTAAATATCAACACAGTTTTCTTCCTAATCACCGTAATTGATTGGCGGCAGACAGTAATTCCAATCGGAAGCTCCTTTGCCTAGCAGCTGTACCTCGACATAACACCATTCTCCCCCTGATAAAGTTTATTCATGAGTTGATTGATTCTCTTTTCTGCAGTTTTTCCCCTTCAAAGAAGGCGTCAAACCAATCTTCTATCTCCACCATCTTTATGTTGATTTACCTGCAGTGCCGTTGGGGGCTCGAGCTGCTGTACAGTCAGTGTATGTTTGATCGTCCTGCACAAATGCCGCTGCACAAAGACGGCCGTCTATCGTTCTTCTGTGGCTTTTGCGGTACTCCGTTAGCTGCTGAAGAGCAGCTGAACCGGCAGAAACACCTCCAGCAGACCCACCCTGTGCCTGGCTAAGGGGAAGCAGAGACGAAAGAAACACCAAGAAAATGCATAAATGCAACATTTTAAACACAAATGCGTCTGAAAACGCAGCAACATTCCCCTCTTATCAGGCCAAGAAAGCAAGCAAACAAACAAGCGAAGGCTGCAAGCTGCACTGTACATACACCTGAAATGAGATCAACCAACGTGAAAGAAATATGAATTCCACAAAACAACGAAAACAAAACCTTTTTACATTTAAATATAATCCAGAACAACACATTTGTACTATTTTTTGCTTTATTTCTGGCAGTTGATTCGACTGCTAAAAGCGTATCACCCATTTGCTTGCAATTTTTCTTCTTTTTCCGGTTATCTACTGCTTCCCGTTTGAAGACTTTCATTGAATATTGCTGCGAGCGACAACAAGAATACAAAAACGAATAAACAAAAAAGGAAAAAGAAAAAAAACCGCTTCAGTTTTAGCCTCTGGAATTTGTTTCTTTTCCTCCACTGAATATTCAAATTTTCAGCAGTTTGCATTTTTAAAATGTTTGTCTTTTTAGAGAAGAATTTCTTTTGGGCATCCGCACGAGGCATAGGAGATGTGCAGACAAAGTGTGTTGTAAAGGAGAAAAGCCTTTTGTCTTTTTATGACTGGGGGGTGCGGCTGCTGTTGCTCTTTGTGTTGGCTCGTCTATCCACGTCTTTGCAGGGAAAAGTTATTTCATTATGTCGGTCTTGTGCTCTCTGCAATCTACATTAAACGCCATTATTTGTTTTTATTTGTTCAAGAGGAGATTCAAGTTGTTATATTAGTGTAATTACCGTCGCTAAGGAATTCAGTTCGTGCTGCTGTACCGTGGCTGCAGATCAATAGGATATTTGAATACTCCTGATTAAGAAATGCTTTTGTTCTTTTTGCGTCTGTTACCGAGCTCTTGTATTGCCTTTGTGTCAGCTGCATGCATGCAAATAAACAATTCAGGTTGAGATGCATGCATGCATGCATGCATGCTGCATGCAAACAAAGAAACACCCCTACCTCCTACAGCTTCTTGTAAGTCAGCGAGGCTCCTACGGATTGCCCTGTCTTCTTCATTTTCCAGCATGGATTCAATCAAATCTTGATTGTTTTCTTCAAGATGAATGTCCCTAAAATATATACATAAAATGCAGACGTATATACACTCGAAATTCAACAATGAAATGCAGAGAATTCAAATTCAATGTTGCTGTCCTGCCGTACATCACTGGGTAAGGAGGAAGCGCGATACCTCCTATGCCTTTTTCTGCAGCATGATGCTGAAAGTTTTAATATTTTAATAAAATATTACTATTAAAAATAAATTTAAATATACAACATATTCTGCAATCACTTACCTTCAGCCGCGTGCATTCCGTTGGGGAGAAGGAGAGGCTGCATGAAGCAAACACTGACGCGATTAGCAGCAGAATAACCCTCATATTTCCCTTTTAAGGGTTTATTATTATTCCTCAGGTTATAAACAACTAACTCCAAATGAAAAATCAGGAAAGGGAAGCGAAGTTACACGGAAAAAATTCTTCTTTTCGTTGCATATCCAGTGCACACACTTTAGCTGAGGTGTACGTACACCCGAACCTTCAACGCAAATTTCGTAATGAAGAATTTCTTTGGTGTGAATCATTGCAGAGAATAGGTTTATCTTTTTAAGGGGAAATTTTTTGTTTTTTTGTGTTGTTGGGATAAACAGCACTTAAACATTTCGCGAAGATGCGCGAAATACAGTCAAAGGGATGCCTCGATAGAGAAGGATTTCTTATTATCATTTTCAAAGCAGCCACACAAAATAGAGTATTCATTGGTTTATTTTCTTCTTTACCTTTTCATAATTTATTTCGGTAGGGCAAGTGATAAATAAGTGTTTTATTCCTTTTGCAGCCTTTCAATTCCTGCAGCCTGCATGCGATCCATTAAAACTCTTGAATTATTTCTTCTAAGCATATTAATTGCCCCGCCTAACTATGATATAGAAAGAAGAAGAAATTATTATTTAATTATGTTGTACCCTAAAAAGATAGAGTGATAACAATTGCAAGGCTTTAAGTTCTTCGGCTTAATTATTCAATAAGTAAGGAGATCTTCTGTTTCTGCGCTGAGCATTAATAA